GGATGATCTTCAGTAGAATCTTGCTTGCATGTGAAATCAATGACACTGTTCTGTAGTTTCCACACTCAGTTGGGTCACCTTTCTTTGGAATGGGAACACATATAGATCTCTTCCAGTCAGCTTTAGAGCAAGGAAATCGAGTCACTCGTTCTAGGTCACCAGTTCCCCTGTGGGAGAAGGATGGGTAATCTCCTCCTTGGTGAGTAACTGCCTCTGGAAACCCACTGGAGGATCAGCTATGGGTCGGGTCCGACTCAATGTACACAACAACAAGGTAAGAATGCTACTATTGTTTTACTTAACTCTTCTAAGACAAAGTGTGATGCAGCTGAGAGGTAAAAAAACCTTTGTAATCATGAGTTCAAATTCTAGCTCTAATTGTAGCCATACATGACCTTGAGGTAGCCTTTCTGAATGTCAACTGATGAAAATACCTACTTAGTATCGTTTGGAGAAGTAAATGCAAAAACGTTCCTACAAAGAATAAGAATTAATATACGGTAACTGTTTTCCTAATATGGCTATGTTCACATTTCTCCCCAAAGTTCCCATCTTCTCCACAATTTTCCAGCTCAGCAAATTTAACCAAAGAAAGTTACCCTTTCTTTCTTGCATCTCTACAGACTCCTAGCAATAACTCTTTATTGAAATAAATGTAGTAGGAGGAAAAATAGTATTCCATGATAAAGAATCATGGACACGGAATTTTCGATATACCCACCCAGCTTGCCCACACACTGCATCACTTACCTCTGCTGACTGAAGGAGAAAACGTTTATTTGTATCAATGTGGAACATTACAGGATTTGGTAAATTTGGCTGACTCACTGTCACATGGACATTTGTCTGTTCTGTGTTTATTAGGACTGCAAATTCAGACAATGCCTTCAAAGCCACAATGGTGTCCTGTAAAGGGAAGAAAAAAATGTGTTCATGTGTGTGTGTGTGTGCAAATATACAAGTTTTCCTAGACTTATTATATGGTTCTGTTTTAATAACTCCATTAAAAGTCAACTCTGACATAAATCAAACATTTTTTCCGTTTTTTATTATGATAGGCTTTATAATAGCAATATCTTTATATAAATCCAATCTTTATGTTAGCTTATAGGTACGAGGACATCAGGCAACTGCATGCTGCAGTACTGTATATAAGTAGCACATATTACTACTGATAGTATGTACAAAAAAAAATCTATGCAATTGTATATGTATTCATTCCCAGCTGTCATGAATTGGGGATCACCTGTATTTTAATGTTTCCAAAGAGTAAATTTAGTGAGTTTTTCTATATCTGCTATACATTCATCCAGTTTTCATGAGAATGAAAATCTCTGGTATAGATGGAATTCCGTCCCCCTCAAAGATGGATTAAAATCTTAACCTGTAAATATGGCTCTGTTTAGAAAAAAGGTGTGTTTTATTAGGGTTTGGTTTGTTTGATTTTGTTTTGTTGCTGTCTTAATGAACTCATATCAGAGTAGATGGGCCCTGAATCATCAAGTCATGAGTTATAAAAAGAGCAAATTAGATAGAATCACATAGGGAACAAATATCAGGAGTAACAAAGAATGAGATTTCCAAGGAACTCACAGGGCTACACTACAGACAAGGGAGAATTGGAACTATATCTTAAATTCAGACTTCTAGCTTCTTGGGACTGTGAGAAAATGAGTATCTCTTCTTTAGAGTAACCAATTTTGTGGTATTTTGTTCTAGGTAAATAAGACATTCTCTCACATCCATCTTTGAATTTCACTGGCCCTATTTAAAAGAGAGATCAGTAAACATATTCCAGATTCAGCTGTATATTTGCAGTTGCCAAGAGAGATGGAAAATGGCTAATATAGTTGGGAAATTAATGTATACCTAACAAATATCATAAATTAAGTTCCTAGCAAAAATAAAAAAAATTAGTAACTTAGACCTGTGACAAGTTTTTGAGCTTTCAAACTACCAGATAATTTTATAAGAATATTAAAAAGTAACGATGTGCTTCCTAAAAATAGATATCAATATTTTGGTGGGGGAAACAAATATCATTCCTCACCTGTGTAGATGCAAAGCCTCCTAAGCTATTTCTCTGCTTACTTAGCCATCTCATAACTGCTATTCCTTCAGGAACCTGGTGTTGCAGTAAGTATGAGAGCAGTGTGTAGGCTGCAACTTCAATATCCAGAGAGCTCGGCTGCCAGGATTCATAAAGTCTGGCTCCTGACGACACCCAGAACTGCATGTCCTCTATAAAGAAAAGTTGCATTCTGATAAATTACAGAATAATCCCATCTTTGCCCCTAAATACTCCTACACTTGACTAGAATAAAAATAATTTGTACACATGTAAATTGTAATACGAGGCTAATATGTGTGTGTGTTTATTAACACATAATACATAAGTAAGTCTGTATATGTCATTTTAAACTCTTATAACTTATATTAACCTTTTCCTGCTTCCTGAACTTGAAGATGATTTGAGGAAACTATTTTTCCTACAGAAACTCCATATGTTTGGCTCAAGATTAAATGGCTATAAAAAAGTATGAAAATATATACCATTTTCAAGAAAATAATGTACTATAAACTAAAGAAGAGCTGAGGACATACTGGAAAGAATTCTTTTTTTGGAAAGAACTCTTAACAGAAAACTATCATTAACCAGTTCTAACATTCTGGGAAATTTCATCCTTTTTCATTATCTGAAAGTGAGATTGGAATATCAAAATCCAAATTTCCTCTAAGAAAAAAGATGTATGAGAGATCCCCACTTACAATCAATAAGCTTCCTGAACAATATTCTACTCTAGTCCCCACCACCCTCTCAAATAATACTTCCAAGATGATGACTACATTTAGACATGATGTAAAATAACTACCAATAGTCAAGAAGAGAGAGGAAATGTCAAAGATTATTTCAACCTTTATGCATTAATCTCCAAATTCCTAGCGCTAAGGGTTCATCTAAATTAATGCTAATACAATAGTTTAAGCAATCAGAAGTCTCTAAGTGCTTTCTACAATTATCCTTTCATGAATTAACCATTCCCTTCTTTGAGTCAGTGGGAATAACCTAAAATTACTTCTGCCCATCTATAGTTCTTTCTCATGTATACAAATATACACTCATGTGTTATAGGCCACTCTAGTGGCCTAGTAAGAAGTTGCACTGCCAACCCAAAGGCAGGCAGTGCAAATCCACCAACTGCACCAAAGGAGAAGGGTAAGCAGCCTCCTCTTCTGCGATTTATAGCCTCTGAAAACCCACTGGAGTGTCAGCTATGGGTCAGTTCCAACTCAACAGCACAAAACAACAACAAAGATAAAATTTCTTATAAAACCCTTAGAGATATTAGATGCAACCTGGCTATGTCAGTCTTTTCTGGATTTTATTTCAAGTTTTCTTTTTTCATCTCATTCAGACAGTGCAGCTTTAATCAACTCATTCAATGCTTACAACACTGCTCTCAGTATAATCCTCACACAGTCCCCACAGCTGCACACATCACACATTACCTTCTCTTTCTGCTCTCTCAGTCAGCATTTCCAAGGCTTCCCGAGCTTTTGGACTCTTGGCTGATGACAGTGCATAGGCGATAAGAGCAAGAGTGTAATTGTCTGAAATTCCTCTGGTGAGTTCAGACTCCAAAAAGTTGATAGACTCCTGCATATTAATATTAGGCTTGGAAGAAAAAAACTCGTATTTTACCATTCAAAATAACCTACCATTAACATATTTAAAGTAAAGCTGCATGAAAATACTTATTAAAAAATAACGTCAGTGTCTATTAAGTACCTAGTTTTGTCGTAGACAATAAGGATTAACATGACTCTTGATATTCAAAAACTTGTCATGTGTTTTTTAAAAATATTATGGCTTTTCTGTTTTTAAAAGTAAAAGATGCACCACTTCTGGGAGGGAATAAGAAACAAGAAGTGTAATTTCTGCCAGTCTTTCCCCAAGTATCATGATACATGATACCAAGTACCATGAACATAAATAAGCAATTAATGTATCTTGGGGGAAAAACATTTCTTATATTTGATCCCAAGTATTACAGCCCTAATTTTAAGGAATAAGTTCATCTTACACATATACAGTGCCAAGTTAAGAAAATATCCACTGCCATTCAGTCTATTGCAACTCTCTAGGACAGCATAGAACAGAACAGGAGTTGATCTTTAGGGAAAACTGTGATCTTTACTGAAGCAGATTACCACATCCTTCTTTTATGGACTGTGTGGTGGAATTGAACCACTGATTTTTCAGTCAGTAGGGGAGAGCTTAACCATTATACCACCAAAGGACGCAGGAGCTTCTTTAAAAAGAACGGCTGGCTGAGATCACGGGAATGCAGGCAGCAGTAAGCAATAAAGACATTAATCATAGGACAATTCTGGAGCATCACTCCATTAGCATCACTTTCCATGTACACATACTCTCAGCCAGACATTTACAGTAATTTAAAGTGCTTTTTCAGCATGTGATAAGAATTAGCTGGCACTGTCATTATTCTATGAGATATTTTAAACAAAAACCAAAAATCCTCTTTCACAACCTAAACTTTTAGGACAACATTTTAAATTCTGAAGATATTATTGGCTTGCCAAAAATTTACTTTTGCAACAATGAAATATGTATCAAACTAAAAGGTCAACAGTTCAAGTCCTGTGCTATCATGCAGGAGAAAGATGGGCAGTCTCCTCTCATAAAGATTTAGAGTCTGGGAAAATCTGATGGAGAGTCACTATGAGTTGGAAATAACTTAATGGCAATGGGTTTGGTTTTTGGTTTATTATAACCAGTACAAAAGTTTCTATATTAGAAAGCATTTTCAAAACATCCTTTTAGTGACTCTGAAGTAATAAGCTAATATTTTTATCTCTAATTTTAGAATGTGGTCACAAACACAAGTAATGAATGCTCAAATACAGAAATAACTAACTAACTAACTAACTAACTAAATAAATAAATAAATAAATGAATGAGATTCCAAAATCTCTGTAGATGTTCATTGAAATAAAAAGTATACAAATAAATAAATAAATAAATATAGAGATAAATTTGGAAAACTCCTCTGTTTCCAGATATATATTTGATCCAACAAGACTCATGTTCCTTGTGATTTCTACTCATAATTTATCAAATTGAAGATTAAATACCTGGTATCTTTTATATCCCAGAAGAGAAGTCACGATATAGGCTGTAAGTACTATTGGACTTTTGTTGCCAGCTTGAAACTCACTATGGATCACTCTTCCTGGCTCCCAAAATGCACCACTGGATTTCTGATGTTCTCTGAGCCAAGTGTAGGTTCTCCTTAGTACATTCTGATCAATATCTATGTAAGAATCAGCTTCAAGGAAGCATCTTAAAACAAAAGCTGACAACCTTGGTTAAAAGAAAAAAATAATAAAATGAACTTTATAATGTACTCCAAATAATACTCATCAAGGAAAAACCAACCAACCAACCACATTTTTCTTACCAGAAAATTCACAAAATATATCATTACTATAGAAAGAACACCAATAAGAAACAATCAACCCTACGATAAATGGGGTGACAGATGTTGCAGCTAGATTGCCCTCACATCCAGATAAGAAACAATCAAGAGACAGCATAAAGGCAATCACTTCCTAGGAGGTAGTCTCAGTTATACTTTGAATGTAGCCGTGGAATTTCAGGTGTACTCATATAAAAAGGTCAGACTTAGAAAGTCATTTAGCAATCAACTATTCCAGTCTTCCTATTTTATAGATTGAGAATTTGCAATATCAAGAGAATTACATTATCTATAGTTACTCATCACTGGGCTGTTTTTAGGTTATTAATTAAAGAGCATTGCATTCATCAAAACAGCAATGGCAAATCATCTGATCCCAGGGAAAATCAGCAATGTTCAACCAAACAGTAACAACAAATTCCAGTGAGAGTATGGAAAGATTGGTAAAATAATGCAGCTAGTACAAAAAGCAATTTGGAAAACAACTATGAGATATCATCTCACCCGAGTCAGAATAGCAAAACTTAACAGAACAGCAAGCAACAAATGCTGGTGAGGTTATAGAGAAACTGGAATCCTTATTCACTATTGGTGGAAGTGTAAAATAGTGCAACCACTGTGGAAGGTGGTAGGGACCGTTCTCAAAAAGTTGCATATAGAGATACCATTTGACCCAGCAATTCCACTACTGGGAATATACCTCAAAAAGACCGTAAATGACATCCAAGCAGATATATGCACACCCATGTTTATTGCAGCTTTGTTCACAATAGCAAGAAGTTGGAAACAACCTAAGTGCCCATCAAGAAACAAATGGATAGAGAAGCTGTGGTATATTCACACAATGGAATACTATGCTGCATTGAAAAACAAGGAACTCGTGCAATATAATTCAAAATGGTGATTCTGGAGGACATTATGCTGAGTGAAGTGTCTCAGTCACAAAAGGACAAATACTCATGGTGCCACTGTTGTAAAACAGGACTGATATCGGGGTGGGCGGAGACTGAGAAAGATGGGTTCAATAATGTAATCTGTACTGAAACAGATGAAGGAGAAAATCATTTAAAAGGACATGTGATTAAGTATTTTTGTCAGGACAGGAGTCCAGAGTGGACCTGGGGGAGAGTTTGTTAAACAATGAAAGAATTTTTCCTTTACTTTTCCAAGAGGGTAGTGTACTAGGGGGGAGAGTTGTGTGGAGAGAAAAGTGCAACAATGAATGAATAGAAATCCAAAGTCTCTGTAAATTTTCATTGAAATCAAGAATAAATTTTTAATAAAGGAAAAACTTAAAAAAAAAAACAAAGCAAGCAATTTGGCATGTTCTTAGAAAATTGAGACTATAAATACGAATTAATCCAGTAATCCCACTGTTATGTATATATATCTCAAAGACATAAGAACTGCAATTCACATTGACAAGTTCAAATCTATGTTTATTGCAGCATTAATCACAATAGCAAAGAAAAATAACCCAAGAGACCATCAGTAGAGGAACAGCTATAACTATAGTATAGGCATATAATGAAGTACTATGCATCCTTCAGTATGGATTGAGGCTCAATGTCATGAGGACAAAGATTCTCACCAATGGACCAATTGGCAACATCAGGATGGATGGTGAAGAGATTGAAGATTGTTAACAACTTTAGTCTGCTTGGCTCCACGGTCAACACTCTTGGCACTAGTAGCCAGGAAATTAAAAGGCATATTGCCATGGGAAAGTGCTGTTAGGGACCTCTCTAAAGTACTGAAGAGCAATGGTGTCACTCTGGAGACTAAGGTGCATCTGATACAGACTATGGTCTTTGCAATCACTTGTTATGCATCAGAGATTGGACAATGACTAGGGAAGATAGAAGGAGAATTGATGCCTTTGAGGTGTGGTGCTGGAGAAGAGTACTGAATGTACAATGCACTGCCAAGAAAACAAACAGATTCATCCTGAAGAGGATTAAACTGGGCTGCTCCTTGGAGGCAAGGATTCTGGGGCTTCATCTGACATACTTTGGACATGTTGTAAGGAGGGACAGGTCTTTGGAGAGGGACATCATGCTTGGGAGGGTGGAGGGACAGCGCAGGAGGGGAAGACCCTCTATGAAGTGGATTGATTCCGTGACTGGGGTAATCGGGATGGGTGTGTCAGAGGCAGTGCCATTGGCACAGGATAGAGCAGGGTTTAGGGCTGTTGTACATAGAGTTGCTATGAGTCACAAGCTACTCGACAGCACATAACAACAACAACAACAAAAACAACAACAAAAATGCATCACTGAAAAATGATCAAGAATTTGTGAAATGTGTGCAGAATGAGAACAAATGATGCTGAGTGACATAAGTTAGTCACAAAAGGACAATTATGTTAAAAGGGCACTATTGGTAAGTAGCTATACTGCCAACTCAAAGGCATGTGGTTCTAATCTACAAGCTTCTCCACAGGAAGAAGATCTCCTCTTGTATGATTTACAGTCTCTGAAAACCCATGAGAGGGTCATCTGTGAGTTGGCTCTAATTTGGCAGCACATAACAACTTCAATTACAAAAAGCTTAGGAAAGGTTCACACATAGAAAGACTCAATCTTGAGTGGTTAACTGGGATGGGAAGTGTGTGAAAGGGAAGGAAAACAAACCAAAACAAGTTGAGTGAAGGCAAAAGCAATATACAACAAGGGGTTGATTAGACACTGTAATTCACTGATTCATCAAATATAATGTTATAAAACAAAATATCTATAAATAATTGAATAAAAATCAATATGATTTGTAAACTTTCACTGAAATTTTAAAAAATTAAATAAAAATAAAATGTATGTAAGCCAATATAAAATTTTTAAAAATAAAGGAAACAGGTACTTGGGTTAATCAATAGCATCTGCTGAGACTTGAGAACTGCGCTGTTGGGACCTTTCCTTTTCCCTGGGCTTATGCCTACTCAGACAATAATAACTCCCTCCCAACCAGTATTATGAGAAGAGACAGGTAAGCAGGTCAGCTATTAGCATTTACTGAGACTTGGGAAGTGCCCTACTGGGAGCTTGCTGCTTCCCTCAACTTTGTCTGCTCAAGTGGGAATAGCTTCCTCCCAACAACCTTCTGGAGAGGAGACAGGTATACAGGTCAGCCATTAGCACCTACTGAGACTTGGGAGTTGCATTGTTGGGCCCTTACTGCTTTCCTAGGCCTCTTCCCTCAGCAAAGTATCTTTGACATTACTTTGGGGAGTTGGCCTACAGCTGAGGGACACTGACAACACTCCAATAAAACTACAGGACAAGACAGAGAAGGAAGTTCACCACATCTGGGCAAGGAAAGAAACTCCAGCTCCCTTGACCCTCAATGAGCATCCAGATAATACTTGGGAATAAACCTAACAAGAGGCACAAAAGATGTTTATAAGGAAAACTACAAAATGCTACTACAAGAGACAATAAGAGAGCTAACTAAAAGGAGAAGCATTTCCTGTTCATGGATAGGAAGACTCAATATAGTGAAAATATAATACTACCAAAAGCAATCTATCTACCTGTTCATTGAAATTCCAATTCATTTTTCAAAGGCAATAGGCAAGTTTATTTTAAAAGAAAAAAAATCTCAAATAAGCAAAGCAAGAATAAAGTGGGAGGCAGAGCACTCCCTGGTCTTAAACCTACTACACAGCTGTAATAACCAAAACAGCATAGTACTGGTACAATGACAGATACATGGATAAGTTGTACAGAATCAAAAACCCAAAACTTAACCCATCCACCTATGGTCAGCCAATTTCCAACAAGGAAATGAAACCCATCAATTGGGAAAATGACAACCTCTTCAGCAAATGGTGCTGGCAAAACTGGAGCACTACCTGCAGAACTGAAGCAGGATTCACATCTCACACCATACACAAAAATCAATTCAAGATGGATCACAAACCTGGGATAAAGTCTAAAATCATAAAGCTCGCAAGAGACAAAATGGGATGAAACACAGAAGGCCTACTCTTTGGTATAAAAAAAGACTATCAAATACAGCCACAAATGCACAAACAGGAGAGGATAAAACATCAATGAATGGGACCTTCTAAAAAGTACCTGTGTGCATCAAACTATGGGTGAAAGAAAACCTACTGACTGTGTGGGGGAGAGGGTTGGAATTGGTAATGCCATCACAGACAAGGGTAGGAAGATGAAAATTTACATAATACTGAAGGGCTTCCACAAGAACAAGACTGATAATCCAATTACAAAATGGGCACAAGATAAGGAAAGACATTTTTACAGAGGAAGACATTTGGATAGCCAACACACATTTGAAGACATGCTCAAAATCACTGGCAATAAGAGAGATGCAAATCAAAACCACAATGAGATATCATCTCACCCCAATTGCAGGGCCAAAGTTTTACAGAACAGCCATTTAAGTTTTACATGTTGGAGAGGATGTGGAGAGATTGGAACTCGCATACACTGTTGGTGGGATTGTAAAATGGTACAACTACTCTGGAAGATAGTTTGGCATTTCTTCGAAAGGCTACACATAGAGATTCCATATGATCCAACTATTCCACTGCTAGGAATATGCCCCTAGGAAAACAGAACTGAGACACAAACAGAGCTCTGTACTCTGATGTTCACAGTAACATTGTGCACATAGCAAGAACACAGAAACAGCCCAAATGTCCATCAACAAATTACTGGATAGTGAAATTGTGGTACATTCACATGCTGGACTATTATGCAGCACTCAGGACCAGCGATTTTGAAAAATACTATATAACATGGGCAAGACTACAGAGCAATACACTGAGTGAAATAACTGGGGTACATAAGAACAAATACTGTATAAGACCATTATTGTAAAAACAGGAGGTTAACCAGTAAGATGTATCCTAAGAGGTAAGAGGAGGGAACAGGGGGACTGAGAGTGGGGAGTGGGGAATCATGAGATCAGAGAATCTGGAAAGTGGAAGGAGCGGGAGAAAACCAACAAATAATTTCTATGACTGAAATAAAATGTAAAGAAATTATTGTTATGTTGTTTTTGTTGTTATGTGCCCTTGAGTCGCTTGAGACCCACTGTGACCTTATGTATTATGTATAACAGCTCTAAACCCTGCTCTATCTTGAGCCACTTTTACTGTCTCAAACACATCTACCCTCATTACTCCAGTCACTGAGTCAATTCATCTTATCCAGGGTCTTCCTCTCATGTGTTGTCTCTCTACCCTTCAAAGCTTGATGTTCTTCTCCAAGGACTGGTCCCTCCTGGCAACACTACAAAGACTATGACTTAGATCAGGCATACCATAGTCTCTAGACTGACATCATTGCTCTTCAATACCATGGAACAGAATACAAGCCCTACCCTACTAGAGGCTTAAATAAGCTCATGAGACCTCAGTGCCATGTGTTTTTTTCCTTTGAAAAAGCTTGCTCACATGGGGCGTAGCTTCCAACTGCTCATTAGTTTCTACACTATCCTCACTCACAGAAACCATCTAGTTGTGCCACAAGTGACGGGTCTACAGGATCCTGGCCCAATGCTACCACTTTCTCCAAAATCAGCCTGCTATCTACTGTCACATAAGTCATTCCCCTGACAGATCTGAGTCTCTGGGAGATCTTCTAGCAAATATAAGCCCAAGAGACATAGAGGAACTGGGGAACTGAGTCAACGGATGGAGCTGCTAGTGTTAGAAATTATGGACGCATAATGGACACATATGGATACAGCTGGTTAAGTATTTGGGACTATACTGACCTAAGAATTCTCATCAAGAACTTGCTTTTAATCTTAGCAAGATGAATTTTGAAAACAATGGCCAACAGAACGATGAAGAAATACTCAAAATCACTGGCAATCAGAGAGATGAAAATAAAAGCAATATTGAAATACTATCTCGCTTCAGTAGCAGTAGAAAGCCTAACAGAACACTAAGAAATAAATGCTGGAGATGATGTGGAGAGACTGAAACGTTCATGTACTGCTGGTGGGATTGTAAATGGTACAATCACTCTGTAAAGCAGTTTGATGTTTCCTAAAAAAACTGAACATAGAAATCCCAAATGACCCAGGTATTTTGACAGGTAGGAATATACCCCAAAGAAATTAGAACTGAGCTATGAGAAGAGATTTGTACACCTACATTCACAGAAGCATCATTCACTACAGCAGGAAAATGGAATCAGCTCAGCTATCTATCAAACGAATCGACTGAAATATTTTGGTACATGCACAAAATGGCATACTGGGATCACTAATTAACAATGATTTTGTAAAATATTATATAACATAAGAGAGTCTAGACAGCATTACAGCGAGCAAAATAACTCATGCTCATTAGGAGAAAGTCTACATAAAATCACTATTGTAAAAACAGAAGGACAACTGAGCAAAACATGTATAGATGTTAAAAGGGAAAGGGGAAAAGGAAAAGGGGGAAGAAAAGGAGGAAAGGGAATATCACTAGAACAGCAGGAGTTAGTGGGCAGATGGAGGATGAAGGAATAGGAAAGATTCAGTTCTTTTGGCAGACACTTGAAAAGATAGGATAATAGGCATAGATCAATAGTAATTTATTTTATAAATACAATGTGTATCAGTCATTGTATAAAACACAATATGCATTAATGAAAGAGGTAAATTAAATATATAAAATGCAATGTACATGAATGAAACACAATGTGCATGAATTATTGTATGCAAACCAATAAAAATATTAGAGGGGCAGAAATAAGAAAACAAAGAGCATTGATAATACTTCTCTTAGACCCAAAGACACATAGTTCAAAACCCCTATTTTAAAATTTACTATTTATTTATACCATCATTCACTTTTAAAATCTTATCTTTTTAAAATATTTTATTTATTTATGTATGTATGTATTTTCTTGTTGTTTACCATCTAATCGGATCCGAATGGCACAGAAAGAAGTTGCCCCTCCTTCTCCAGTGGAGCGTTTATTGGATTCAAACTGCATGCCTCAGATATTGCAGTGCAGTTTCTTGCCACTTGGCCACCAGAGCTCCCATATACAATCATTCACTTTTATACAATCATTCATATACATCGTTTCATTCATGTAAATATTATTTTACAAAATCATTTCTGTACATTCTATACTAATTTACTATATCAAGAATATCATCCATGAAGACTGCAAAAGGTCATTACAAAGATGAAAGAAGAAAAGACCAAGAGGGATGTCAGAAGAAACTCTGAATATTGCACTAGAGCACCAAGAAGTAAAAGCAAAGGGAAGAAGCCAAGGAGTTTAGGACCTAAACAGAAGATTTCAAAAGACAGCATGAGATGACAAATCAAAGTATTAAAATGAAATGTGCAAAAAGCTGGAGTTGGAAAATAAAAAGGGACAAACTCACACATCATTTAAGCTGAAGGCACTGCAGAAAAATTTCAAGCCTCAAGCTGCAATACTTAAAGATGCTGTTGAAAGGCCAGAATGTTGACTGACCAAAGAAGCATCAAAAAAATACAGGAGTACACAGTTACTGTACCAAAAAAGATTGGCTGACAGAAGAATTTCATGAAACATGCCACTGTTGTAAAACAGGACTGACAAAAAAAAAAACAACAATAAACAAACAGGACTGACCTTGGGGTTGGGGAGAGACTGAGAAAGATGGATCCAATAGTGTATACTGCATTGAAACAGATGAGGGAGAAAACTGTTTAAAAGGGATATGTGATTAGGTATTTTTGTCATGGCAGGAATCTACAGCGAAGGCTACATGGTGGAGTGGACCTGGGGGAGGGTACCAGTGCAGGAGTTTGTCTTTTGCTTATCAAGGAGAGGCACGAACTGGGGGTGGGGGTGGGGTGGGTGGGGAGAAAAGTGCAACAATGAATGAATGGAATTCCAAAATCTCTGTAGATATTCCTGAAATTAATAATAAATTTAAATTTAAAAAAAAAGAATTTCATGAAACAACATATGATCAAGAGGCAATGGTGATGAAGAGGAAAGTCAACCCTGCTCTGAAGGTATTGTCAAAAATCAATGGCTAGAGGAGATGTGGTATATTCACACAATGGAATATTAAGCAATACAGAAAGACAAGGAGCTCATAAAATATTGGAGGACACTATGCTGAGTGAAATATCTCAGTCACAAAAGGACACATACTGCATAATACCACTATTCTAAAACAGGACTGACATCAGGATTTGGGGAGAGGGGAGAACTAAGAGGGGATAAACAATGAACACTGCATTTAAATAAATGAAGGGGGAGCTCTGGTGGCCTAGTGGCAAGAAGCTGCACTGCAGTCCCAGAGGTTTGCGGTTCAAATCCACCAGCTGCTCTGCTGGAGAAGGAGGGGCCATCTCCTCCTTCTCCCTCACCCCTTCTCCTCTTAGTTAAAAATCTCTTTTAAAGCAAGACTCCTGAAGAAGGGCCAAATAAAATGCAGCACCCAAGTCCACATCCCTGCCCAGGTTGGGGTTATTTTGACCTAGAGAAATCTTTTTCCATGGTATGAATTTGCTCGGTTGACAAAAACACTTACCAAGTGCTTCCAGATGGGTCACTGTTCCCAAAAGCACTAAAAGAACCATCATTTCTTTGATAAAGAAGTTCTCTCTGGTAACCTGAAAATATAAAAATGAACATTTAGTATACACAATCTGTACATAAATAAACTTTCTAATCATGATTGTATACTGAAGAAACAAACACAAAGAGAAAAGGAGACATCAAATCAACTAATATAGATTATTTCTGCCCCATCCACTGCCACAGAGATGATTCTGATTTCTAATTACCCTCCAACAGGGTTTCTGAGGCAGTAAATCTCCTTAAGAGAAGACTTTCCATCTTTCTTCCTGAAAACCCCTGGTGGATTTGAACCACCAAAAGCACATAGATCTCTGGTGAGTGCAAAATGCTTCAGACTATCCCACCAGAGTCCCTCAATGATTATGAATATTTCAAATAGAATTTGCAAACGTTTCAACTTACAGTGGAACGCATAACTATTAGCAACCACCAGGTATACTGACAATTAAGTGATGAACTTTTATTCAACACCAACTACATGTCAGGGACACCATGCAAAGCACCTTGCAGTTATGAACTCAGTATATGGTATAATTACAAACTTTAGAAGAGGCAAGCACAGGCAGGAGAGATTCCTATCAGGCTAGCGGAGAACTGAGAGGGCAGCTACATAGAGATGCTACCCTCCTCACCCCACCAAGGACAGAAAAAGTGCAGCAGCCAGGGGAAAGCTGTTCTCTCGCTGCTCTGTGCACCAACCAGTACCATCAAGGACAATTAGAAACTTTACAAGACACAGGTAGGAGAGAATTCCACCATCCTGGAGAGGGTTAAACCAGGGTGCTCCTTGGAGGCAAGGATTCTGGGGCTTCGCCTGATATACTCTGGACATGTTGTAAGGAGAGACAGGTCTTTGGAGAGGGACATCATGCTGGGCAGAGTGGAGGGACAGCGCAGGAGGGGAAGACCCTCTATGAGGTGGATT